GCTGGAAGGAAGGCGCTGCGGGGAGCAGGACAGGGCAGCACATCTGCAAGGGCGGCCGGCGCAGGCAATCTCAAGTGATTCTGTGACAGGCGAGGGCCCAAGATCCAGCGCAGTTAAGTCAGATGCCCAGCGTCACCCCGCTGCTAAGGAGCTGTGCTGGAGTCCAGGGGCTGCCTGCACCTAGGAAAGCCTTAGGGGTCCCAGGTCCAGACCCCTTTTAGCCAGAGCCTGAACAAGAGCTGCCACTCAGTTGGTGGGGTGCCGAGGCCGGGCGGAGAGTAGAGTGAGGCCTGGAGACCAGGGAGAGAGCAAGGACGGGGCGGGGAGCGGGGAGCGGGGAGCCAGGCAGCGGGGGAGCCTCGGGCAGTGGATCCCGCAGAAATGTCTCCACAACAGGAAGCGTCTCATAACATACCTGTGGTTTGGCCAGCCAGGCTCCCGAGCCTCCCTGCTGCTCTCACTGCGGCACTGCTGGCTGGAGGGGGGCGGGATGCTTCGAGGGGTGGGTGCCACCCACCCTCTCCAAGGTGCGCCCGGGCCCTGCCAGCCTCACCCCTGTGTGCTCTCCTGGGAACCTGGGCGACACTCTCCCTCCGTGCCCCCTCCTTTTGTCTGGGCCTCGACAGCTCATCTGTGAAATGGGATGGGGAGTGGGTATTTCTTTCAGTCCTGCAGGATCACCTGGGCCTCTTCCGCTGGTCACCCTGGGACAGGACCGTTTGAGACGGGGGCTTCTGGGAAGAAGGGTCACTGTCAGCGCTGCCCCTTCCTGCTGGCCACTCCCAGGGAGGGGGCTTCTTTCTGCCTTTCTTTCTGCTTTGCCCCGCTTGCCCTCTTGGTCTGAGGGACCCTGGAGCACCCGCTCGCAGCCAGCCTGGGAGGAGGCCAGGCGGCCACAAAACGCTGACTTGGACGAAAGGCTGTTTTACGGGGATTTGTTGAGAAGGGGGGAAATCCCTGTTAAGGACTTGCAGCTGTCCAAACAGTGTGTCTACCCCGCTGTCGCCTCGGCTCAACCCCCCGAATCAGCGTCTCCTGAATGCATCCCCCAGGCCCCCACCCGGGCAGGCTCTGTGCCCTTCCTGGCCCTGCCTCCTTCCTGCCTTCACTTCCCCAGGTCACCAGAGGGAAAGATGACTTGCCCAGGGTCACACAGTCAGTCACTGGCAGAGCCGGCCCGAGCTTCGGGATCCTGCCCGGCCTCTTGCTTGGAATTCTGCATGGGGAAACAAGGAACAAGCGCACTGTTCATCCCCACCTCTTCCCTCCCTAGACTGGATGAGCCCTTCGGCGGGGGAGATGTGTCCGCAGAGCCTGAGGGGAGGGCTGACTGAGTTACTGGTGGGCTGTTTATCTTTGGGTGCTAGAGACTGAACCCAGGGCTGCTCTGCCACTGAACTACATCCCCTCGCTTTTAAATTTTTATTTACAGATGTATGTATGTATGTATGTGTGCATGTATGCAGGGCTGGGGATTGAATCCAGGGCCTTTGCATTGAGCTACATCCCCAGACCTTTCCAAGTTCTGTTTTGAGACAGGGTGTCACTAAATTGCCCAGGCTGCATTTGAACTTTTGATCCTTCTTGCCTCAGCCTCCCAGAGTGCTGGGATTACAGGTGTGTGCCACTGTGTGTGGTTTATTTTGAGACGGGGTCTTGCTATATAGTCCAGGTTGTTCTCCAGCTTTCCAGCCTCCTGCTTCAGCCTCCCAAATGCTGGGATTAGGGGTGTGCACCCGGTTAGGGTCTCTGCCCTACCCCGTCCAGTTGGCTGATAGGACGGGGACCAAGGCAGCCTGTGGGTTAGAGAGTCTTTAGTTCCGAGGGAAGGAGGGCCAGGGTGATGTCCACAGTGTCGCCGGGCCCCTGGGGGTGGGAAAGTACGCAGGGAGTGGCAGCAGGTGGGAGGCGTCTGAGGGAGGCCAGCGAGGATGCTTGGCTGATGCTGAACGCGGGTCTAGGGCCGAGGAGGGGAGCCGGGGATGGCTGTGAGAGTCCTTGGGGACGGGTAGGTGGATCTGATGGGGACTCAAGTTCACAGTCATTTCAGAGCCTCGCTGCCCACCAGGCCCTGTGCTGGGCACAGAGTGGTGGGGGTGGGGGGAGCAGAAGCCACGGCGGCAGGCGCAGGCACAGTGGGGAGACGAAGGGGGCGCCATGCCTTGGGCTTCTATGGTGCGCAAGGCCAAGTGAGCACTTGGGATGGAGAAGCCATGAGGAAGCGGACCACGTAGAGGCCAGTGTGCCCCGTGGAGCCATGTGTGGGGCTATGGCAGCGATGGGCGCCAGGCGGGTGAGTGTGGGGCTGGGCGGCCGGGGTAGGCGGGGGCCGAGTTGGGACCATTTCCTTCTGCAGCCGTGGAGCAGCTCAGCACCCTTCTCGTTCCACTCCCAGCCCCACACCCAGCTGCACGTCCTGACTTCTTTGTCTAAGGGTGCAGCGCCCTCCCTCCAGCCCTGACTCCCCCCAGCTGAGGAGAGCTGCTCCTTCCAGCCTGCCCACCCTCCCCCTGCTGGCCTCCCTGGCTCCCTCTCTGCCCTTGTCCTTCCCCATTCTCTGTCCATTCCTGGCCAATGTGCATATCGTCATGCTGCTTCAAGCCTCAGTCTCCCCATCTGTAGAGTGGGGGCCTGTAATAGTATCTCTTCCCCTGGACACTGGGAATTAAATATCTTCATTGAAAAACATTTAGATGGCACCTGACACCTGCCTTCTGAGCTGTGGTCCTCATTTATTTCCTTCCTTGTGGGTATACTTGCTCAGGTACTGGCATATAACCTGGTCTCTGATTTTGTGTGTATGTGCATGTGCATACACACACACACACACACACACACACACACACACACACACACACAGTGTACCAGGTAGAAGGTGCTGGGAGCCATGGGGCTTGGGTTATAGGAGCTGTGTCCATGTAGTAGACTTTTTCATTTTATTCATCTCCTCTTCCCTCTCCTCCTTCTGCTTCATGTTTCTTCAACAGTACCATAGTTGTTTTGGGGCTGGGGATTTAGCTCAGCGGCAAAAGCGCCTGCCTCGCAAGCGCAAGGTTGTGAGTTCGGTTCCCGGTACCGGAGAAAAACCAAAAAAAAAAAACAAAAAAAAAAAACAGTACCATAGTTGTTTTTATCGCTTCTTGGCCTTTTGGCTAAGGTCAAGTGCAATAGTTGTTTTTTTGGTACTGGGAATTGAACTCACGACGTCGTACTTGCCAGGCAGGCGCTGTGCCACTGAGCTATATCCCTGCCCTCATTTTTCTTCAAGAGACAAGGTCTCACTCTTGGCCAAGGCCAGTACCAGACTCCTGGGCTCAGGCCTCCCAAGTGTGAGGCTGTGGGTGTGCACCACTGTGCCTGGCTAGACCTGTTATTTTTTTATCCTTTTTTTGTTTTGTTTTGTTTTTGTTTTTCTGGTACCGGGAATCGAACTCACGACCTTGCGCTTACCAGGCAGGTGCCATGCCACCGAGCTGAATCTCCAACCCCGACCTGTTATTTTTTAAAAGTGAGTTAACAACCTGCTTCTTCAGGCCATGGTGACAAATAAGAGATAGGTCATCTGGCTCAGAGCTGGCACCTGTCATCCTAATGAGGGGCTGTTTGCATTTTCCCTTCCCTCACAGCCCTTCCCTGGAGACCACCGTACCTGTGCCTGGCAGTGGCTGGGGCTCAGGGAGGCCTGTGAGGACCAAGGGCCTCCTAGTAGGGGCTGGGTCCCCAGCTCTAGGTCAGGGAGCACTGTGGGAGTGAAGGCAGGCTCTGGGGAAGGTCCATGGTTCTGCCACCCCAGCTCCTGGCTCGAATCCCAGCTGCACCCTCAACCTGCGCTATAGCTCTGAGGGTCACTCACCCTTCCCCATGCCTCAGCATGGTAGCAGCACCTACTGCATTCAGGCCATGTATGGCCAGGCCCTGGCTTAGGACTTCAGGCCTTAGCTCGCAGTCATCTGCCCAAGGAGCCCAGGAAACCCACACAATGATTAACCCATTCTACAGATGTGGAAATGGAAGCCAAAGGCTGGGTTGTCTCCTAATGTTAAAACACTTGCCTAGCACAAGTGAGGCCCTCATTTCACTCCCCAGCACAGTGGACAAAGAAAAGCAGTGGAAGCTCAGACTGTATCGATCCCACCCAGGACACAAGATTCGGCTACACCTTACCCAGAGCTCTCTCTGTCAGGAGCTCAGGGCTACAGGGTGCAGTAGGTTGTGGGGTTGGTGACACAGACACACAGCAGGTTAGAAGACCTTGACTTGCTGGGCACAGCAGTGCACACCAAAATCCCAGGGAGGCTGAGGCAGAAGGATCACAAGTTCGAGGCCCATCTGTGCAACTGAGAGAGACCTAGCTCAAAATTTAAAAAAACAAAAAAGGGAGAGGTTTAGGGATGCAGCTCAGTGGTAGAACAGCCCTGGGTTAAATCCCTCCGTATTACAAGGAAAAAATAAGCCTTTGGCTGTTGAGCTAAGCAGCAGGGCCTTATCCTGAGGGCAGTGGGGAGCTGGGCAGGGCATCAGTATGACATAGGGTCACATGGCCCTAAGAAGTCCAAGGTCTGTTTCCTAAAGACCTGAGATTGGTTTCACCACCTGGAAGCAGAGATGATGGCGATAACTTATGCAGGTGTTTCAAGGATTAAGTGAGTTCAGCTGAAGAGCTCACCCCAGTGCCTGGCGAATGGTAATGGAGCTTATCATCCAAGGTTTTAGCAGAGGGCATGCTGAGGCCAGACTGGTGCTCTAGAGGGCACATCAGGCTGCACAGGGGCCTGTCTGGGGGAGCTGTGGTCCCAGGAGCCCGGCGGGCCTGCAGGGGTGGCAGGGATGGAGAGCCACTGCAGGCCTGGAAGAGGTTTGGGAGGTTGCCCCTGTGGACCCCTGTGACTTTGGGAGTTGCTTACGAGTAATATATAAGTCCCATCTTTGTGCGAGGCCCTGGGGCTGCTCTGCCCACCACCGGGGGGCTGGCTTGATGACCCTCTGCTTTCTCCCTGCAGCACACCAGGAACGCCATGCAGGGGGCTCTGCCGCCCCTGCCGACACTGCTGCTGCTGCTGCTGGGGTGTGGGCCACGGGCGTCCTCTGGCGGCGGGGCTGGGGGGGCAGCAGGCTATGCCCCAGTGAAGTACGTGCAGCCTATGCAGAAAGGACCTGTGGGACCTCCCTTCCGTGAGGGCAAGGGCCAGTACCTGGGTGAGACCTTCCTGCCCCAGTGTCTCAGACAGCTCCCAACTCCTGAACTCTCTGACTCCCTCAGACCCTTACAGGCGCCCGCCGCAGCCCCAGTCCTCACCAGAGTCCCTGTGTCCACTGTTGTTCCTGAGGCCGTCCATGGCCTCTCGGCCTCAGGTGGCTGAGAAACCAGCTGCGGCTGGAGGACATAGGTGGTCTTCAGGTGGGGGTGGGTGGGAAGGTTCTGGAGGAACTGGGGGAGGGGCTGCTGCTCCAGCTGGCTTTAAGGTGGACTGCTGGTGCCACCTAGTGTCAGCCAGGGATGAAAGTCATCTGAGGTGCACGGGGAAGGCCCAGCCTGTCTGAGTAGGCTGGGTGCTAGGGGCCCCGGGTGGGGATACCCTGCGGCCCCCAAGACGCCATTGGACAGTCCCATGGGAGCGGAGGGTGTGCAGACGGGGCCAGGCGTGGCCTTAATGGGTAGACGGCCTGCTCCGCCCCAGCATAGTGCATCCTGCAATGAGTAGGTGGGGTCACCGCTGACCGCCCCTGTTCTCTCTCTTTCTCTCTCAGAAATGCCTCTACCTCTGCTGCCAATGGACCTCAAAGGAGAGCCAGGTCCCCCTGGGAAACCTGGGCCTCGGGGCCCCCCTGGCCCTCCTGGTTTCCCAGGAAAACCAGGCACCGGAAAGCCAGGACTCCACGGACAACCTGGGCCTGCCGGCCCCCCTGGCTTCTCCCGCATGGGCAAGGCTGGTCCTCCTGGGCTCCCTGGCAAGGTTGGACCACCAGGGCAGCCGGGGCTCCGGGGAGAGCCGGGGATACGAGGGGACCAGGGCCTCCGGGGCCCCCCAGGGCCCCCTGGCCTCCCTGGCCCCTCAGGCCTTACTGTTCCTGGAAAACCAGGTCCCCAGGGGGTGCCAGGCCCCCCAGGATTCCGGGGGGAGCCAGGGCCCCAAGGGGAACCTGGGCCCCCAGGAGTGCGAGGCATCAAGGGGGATAATGGAGTGGGTCAGCCAGGGCTGCCTGGGGCTCCTGGGCAGGGTGGTGCCCCTGGGCCCCCTGGCCTCCCAGGCCCAGCTGGTGTGGGCAAACCAGGCTTGGATGGACAACCGGGGGCTCCTGGAGACAAAGGAGACTCTGGGCCTCCTGGGGTTCCAGGCTTGAGGGGGGAGCCAGGAGCTGTGGGTCCAAAAGGTCCCCCTGGGGTAGATGGTGCGGGTGTGCCAGGAGCAGCAGGGGTGCCTGGGCCCCAAGGTCCAGTAGGGGCCAAAGGGGAGCCAGGGGCCCGGGGCCCTCCGGGCCTTATTGGCCCCACTGGTTATGGGATGCCAGGACTGCCAGGCCCCAAGGGGGACAGGGGCCCAGCTGGGGTCCCAGGGCTCTTGGGGGACAGGGGCGAGCCAGGGGAGGATGGGGAGCCAGGGGAGCAGGGCCCACAGGGCCTGGGGGGCCCCCCTGGACCTCCTGGGTCTGCAGGGCTCCCTGGTAGACGAGGACCTCCTGGAGCAAAGGGGGAGGTAGGTCCCGAGGGACCCCCAGGAGTGCCTGGCATTCGGGGTGACCAAGGGCCCAGTGGACTGGCTGGGAAACCTGGGCTTCCAGGTGAGAGGGGACTTCCTGGCACCCACGGACTCCCTGGACCAGCTGGGCCCAAGGGTGAGCCAGGTTTCACAGGTCGCCCTGGGGGACCAGGGGCGGCAGGAGCTCTCGGGCAGAAGGGTGACTTGGGGCTCCCTGGGCAGCCTGGCCTGCGGGGTCCCTCAGGAATCCCAGGACTCCAGGGTCCAGCTGGCCCTATAGGGCCCCAGGGTCTTCCGGGCCTGAAAGGTGAACCAGGCCTGCCAGGGCCCCCTGGAGAGGGGAAAATAGGGGAACCTGGTTCTGCTGGGCCCACAGGGCCTCCTGGTGTCCCAGGCTCCCCAGGACTCACAGGCCCTCCTGGGCCTCCTGGGCCTCCGGGCCCTCCTGGCGCCCCAGGGGCCTTTGATGAGACTGGCATCGCAGGCTTGCATCTGCCCAATGGTGGTGTAGAGGGCGCTGTGCTGGGCAAGGGGGGCAAGCCACAGTTTGGGCTGGGCGAGCTGTCAGCCCACGCCACACCGGCCTTCACCGCGGTCCTCACTTCGCCCTTCCCCGCCTCAGGGATGCCCGTGAGGTTTGACCGGACTCTTTACAATGGCCACAGTGGCTACAACCCGGCCACTGGCATCTTCACTTGCCCTGTGGGTGGCGTCTACTACTTTGCTTATCACGTGCATGTCAAGGGCACCAACGTGTGGGTGGCCCTGTACAAGAACAACGTGCCGGCCACCTACACCTACGACGAATACAAGAAAGGCTACCTGGACCAGGCATCGGGCGGGGCCGTGCTGCAGCTGCGGCCCAACGACCAGGTCTGGGTGCAGATGCCCTCGGACCAGGCCAACGGACTCTACTCCACCGAGTACATCCATTCCTCCTTTTCAGGATTCTTGCTCTGCCCAACATAACCCGTGTGCAGCCGTGCTGCCCTGGCCTCCTCCTCTTTAGTGGTAGAGCGACCTTTTCAGTTACAAAGACCTCCATTTAAAGAAAAAGACCAAAGGCTGAACAGAGGTGGCGGCGGCCTTGGCCCCTACATGTGGCTGAGATTTTCTGGAAGGGGCTGGCCTGAGTTCCTCTCACCTAGATGTCTGAGCAGTGTCGGGGCTGCACCCTGGCCCTACCCTGTGGGACTCTAGGATATTTGGCTCAGCCCCCATGAGTCCTGGACGCCGCTGGTCCCTGACAGAGCCGGGAGGGCCTAGGCTCCCTCGTCCACTTGCCTGCTGGCCCCTGGAGAGCACCTGCTCTAGGAGTGGGGCTCTTCACTTCCCTGGGGACAGCCTGCATGTGACAGTGGGTCATCTCCAGGAGGAAGGAAGAAGAGGTGGCCCTTGCGGTGGTTAGCGTGGACACCCTGCCAGGAGCTTGGCGCCAGGATGATGCTGCTGTGTGGGCCTGTCCGTGGTGGGGCCTCTCTTGCAGGCATCTGGGAAGGGTCAAAACCCTTTCTGTGCTTCGGCAGCAATCCTGGGGAAAGGCAGCCCGCAGAGGGTAGGAGCGTGGATCTGGGGCAGAGCAAACGGCTGCTCCTCCGTCTCCCCGCTTTGTTTAGCATGAGGACAACGCACAGGCCCTGGGGACTGCCGTGGCTGTGATGTGTCTGGAGGTGTGCACAGTGTGGCACCAGGCAGGACCGAGGGCAGCAAGCACGAGTGCTCCTCTGCCTCCCTTTGCACCTGCCAGGGGTGGGCCAGTTTCCTCACGCCGGATTGTAAGAGGACCCTTGCTGTCGCCAACCCAAGTGTCTCAAAGGCAGAGCACCTCTCATTTGCCCTGGACAAGGGGTGCACAAGCTCGGGAATGAAGCTCCCACTTGTTTTTCCTTAATAAGAACCACATGGTGGATGGGTGTCTCTACTAGAGGGTTAATCTGGGGAGCCTTCCTCTGCTTCCACCTCTGGTTCCAATTACCTGTTCTAAGCAGGATTAGGGCCCGGGAGGACTAGGCTCTGAGGAAGGGTGCCGCAGGCCTGGGCTGGGTTCCCTCTGGATGTGTCTGGTGTTCTCCGCAGCTAGGGCGCCTCTGCAGGAAGCAGCCCCCACCCTTCAGTGCGAGCTGCAATGAGTGCTGGGGGCAGCGATGGTGGATGTGGCCCATGGAAGGGTGGTCACCCACCTACCCTACCATTTGAGATTTCACTCACCCCTCACCAAGCTAACCACTTCCCTGCACCAAGGGTGAGCGCTGCTCTCACTCTGGCCAAAGCCAGACTGCCTGTGTTGAAAGGGGAGGCTGACTGGTGACTGCTGGCTTGCTAAGCTGTGGTCCCCCGGGCTGCTTGACAGCCAGCCCTCCTCCCCTGCCCACAGCTTCTTCAAAGCGGGCATTGGCTCTCAAAGGGAGGAATGCAAAGTTGAATCTGTCCAAGTGAGACTTTGAGAAAAGGTTTTGGCCGGGGTTCATGGCGGACTTCTTCCTCCCCAACACCCGAGAGAATCATCTAAGGCGTCTCAGCAGGCCTGGTGGGGCCCTTTCTGCTCAACCTCCTTCCCTGGGTGAAAGCCACTGTCATTTGACTCCTTAATGATGGGTGCTGATTGGCAGAAATTAATCAGCTCCCAGCAGGAGCCCGGGGAACCAAACAAGACCCCAAAGGGAGCCCAAAAGCAGTTTGCGAGCTGAGCTTCTGCCAGGTCTCCTTCCTGAAGCCTCTAGGGGAGGTGGTTGATGTTTCTGAAGTGTTTATGGGATTCGAGGTGCAGGTGTCCAGTTACCTGACTTGCTTTGATAAACGACGTCAGGTTTTAACTATGAAAAATACATTACTTTGTGCGTTTTTGTATGCTAATTCTTAATTTCTTAAAGATGGTTTAAGTGTTTCCCACTAGTAAATTCATTTCTAACCTGGTATAGGCAGTTTAGTTCTCTACTCATATGTGCCCTGTGTCACAGGTTCGGGAAAAAATGCACTGGGGAGACAGAAAAAAAAAAAGGGACTTCATTTTGAAAAGAGAAACAACAGTATTGGCACAACCTCAATAAAAACTGTCATGTAAAACCGCTGTGCTGAAACTGGCTTGGTGCAGCAGTGTCTCGGGCACACGGGGCCTTCTCTGGGCTCCAGTGTGCCGAAGGGAGTGAGCGTTCCTCGGCAGCCCCCACCCAGTCTCTGTCACCACCTCAGAAATGCCGACGCGCTTATGCTGCCGAGACCGCGCCAGGCAGATGCCAGGAGACGTTCTAAGCAACCGGAGGAGGGCGGGGCAGTGGCTGGAGCTGGGGGAGACGGATCGAACTTCACTGGAACATTCCTGCAAGCTCTCCGGGGTAGTGGAGCATGACAACTGGCTCAGGCCGGCAAGGGCCCATTTTCAACATCTGATACAAATTATGAATGAAATCGTGAAAACTTGCTGAGGGTGGGGCTTGTGTCAGGGCCGGCACTGAAAACAGGGCGGAGAGGCACTGTCCTGGGCACACAGCACCTGTTCGCAGTCCTCCAGGCTCAACAGCATCATGTTCCCGTCCCCGGCTCTGCAGACCTGAACCAATCCAGGCCTGAGAAGTCTTGCGGTTTGCCCAGCCCGACACGATTCCATCTCGGCTCAAAGCAGACCTGCTCGACTGTCCTGAGACCTCAGCTAGCCAGAGTGGCGTGCACGCCCCTCCACCTAGAGGAAGCCCACAGAATGTCCCTAGTTTCAGGGCACTTGTCTTTAATTGTGCTTTATTCAAAAGGGATACTATGCAAAACTTTGAGAAGCAAGACCTTGGTGGGGCCCCAAGATATAGGAGGAGGTGCACAGCACTCAGTCCATGCTGGCACCTAAAGTTTGGCAGCCTGGTGACACGCATCCTCTGTATCCTTCCCCAGGCTTCCTATGCCTGGCCCAGCCGGTCCTGGGTCCTGTTGGGAAGCCAGGCTCTGGGGAGCAGGAAAAGCTGGCTTGTTACTGCCTGCTGTCTCTGGCAAAGCATTAGGCCCAGCTGCCTGGGCTCCTAAGTGACCTTCAACAGGAAAAGCCACCAGACTATGCCTGTTGCACCCTGCTTGGCTGAACACTGTGGCTGGCTGGAAGAATGGAGGCCTGGTCCTGCACACAACTGGTTGCCTTCGAGTCCCAGCTGCTAGGAGACAGAAAGGTGCTAAGCTTGAGATGGGCCACGAGGAGAGACAGAAACACTTAGTCTGCTGGATTTACCAAAGATTGTTTATTGCTGTGACTTCCACGGGAAGCTGTTAACAAGCCCCATGATAGCCGAGGACCAGCTGTGGACCTAGAGCAGCTGTAGGAAGGTACCTGTCCCTTGGTCCACAGAACTGCCTGCCCAGTCAAGGACAGGCCATCAGGCAAACTGGCTGAGACCCAGCAGAGATACATGATGTTACTGCAGGTCATTTCCACCTCCCAAAATCCCATATCCTAGATAAAAAATGAAAATGCCGTAAGTACCCCACTAAAATAGAATCTGTCCTGGACCCTCAGGTTTCACCAAGCACCCCAAGGGTGTCATGCAGTTCTGCAGCAGGCCGGAGCCCCAGCAGCAAGGCTGCACAGCCCAGCCCCTGCGCTGCAGTAAGACTGAGGCAGGGAAGCCAGCCCAGGAGACCTCTGAGCTGCGGTTAGTCCTGTTGGACATGGCAGAGCTCCAGCAGCTGTGGCCCTCACAGACTCTTCTGAAAGACTCGGTGCAGGTTCTGGGCCAGGACATCTGTCTCCTCATAGCCCTCACAGCTTTGCTGCCAGCTCTCTGGCACCTGATCCATCCCATAGTAAGCACCAGCAATGGCCCCAGCCATGGTGGCAATGGTGTCTGTGTCCCCGCCAAGTGAGATTGAGTAGATGAGAGTCCTTTGGAGGCTGTTGAAGGCAGAGGGGATCTCCGGGTCAGGCTCCATGCAGCGCAGGAAGCAGTAGATGGCAGTGGGCACTGATTCAAAGGCAGCAATGCCATTCCCTGTGGGGAAGCAAGAGCACAGGAAACTGACCTGCCCGACCCCACCACCAGGCTTCCTGCTACTTGCCACAGGTCAGCAGTCTCAGCCTCAAGCAGATCACTGGCTACAAAGTTAAACTACCTGGGTTGACATCCTGCCTGCCCTAGCACTGCCCTGTGCCTGGGAAAGTTGCCTAATCACTAAGATTCCTGTCCTGGGCTTTGATTCCTCAGTGTAGACAGTTTGTTTTTGTCTTTTTGAGACAGGGTCTCGCTATGCAGTCCAGGCTGGCCTTGAGCTCACTTTGTAGCCCAGGCCAGCCTTGAACTTGCATCGATCCTCCTGCCTCAGCCTCTTGAGTGCTGGGTTACAGGTGTGTGCCACCACGCCTGGCCTACCTTAGTGGAGACAGTGAGTAAAGTTAGTCACTCTCTCCCTGGCCTGGTGTGAGGATGGTGGAAGGTCCTGTTGTGCGGCATTTTGCACAGTGCCTCATTCACAGTAAAACTGCTAGGTGAATAAACATCTGGGATCACACTAGCTGTAAAAACTGGCAACCAGCTGCTACAGCTAGGGATATGATCTGATGCTATAGTTCTAAAGCAAGAAGGTGCTGTGCTTACAACCCTACCAGGGACCCTACAGAAAGTGGCTCTATCACAGCAGCCCAGGACTAACCTGACAGCAGGCTCAAGTCCATGTTCCCACCTACTGAGCCTAAGGCTGGCCTCAAAGGATGAGGTGTGGGAGAATAAAGCCACCCACCTAGCTCAGACACCACTTCCTCTCGAGACACCGAGTCCTGGTCTAGAAGCTCTCCAACCTTCTTCAGGCGGCTGGAGTATGGACGCTCTTCCATACCCAACCTGTGGATTTGGGGGAGATTTCAGGGAGGTCAGAGCCAGCAGAGTGGAGGCAGTGGGCAGGGGGTGGGAGACGTAGCTTAGCGGCACAGCGCCTTCCTTGCTTGGCAAGTGCAAGGTCCTGAGTTTGATTCCCGTCAAAAAAAAAAAGAGTGGGCAGGGATGTGTCGGGCTACCTCCCAGTACAGATACCCTGAAGGGAGTGGGAGAGTCTCAGGTGTGAGCCATTTTATTCTCTGGGTCCCGGAGAGCTCTGAAACCAAGCCAAGGCAAAGGGGTCTCTTCCCACCTATCAAGGTACACAATGGGAAGAAGGCAGCTTTTGCTTTGCGGTGATGCCAGAGCCCCCTCCCCACCATATGCATATGCAGCCCTGCCCAAAGCCCATACTCACTCTCTGGCATCCAGGACGGCCTGGGCATCCCCCTCTAACTCCTCCATGTGGCCCAGGAGCTGCTCCAGGAAGTGCTCACTGGAGGACTCACCCTGCAGAGCCAGGTGCACAGCCAGGGCCTGCAGGATGGCACCGTTGTAACCCAGAGAGGAGGCGTGGGTCAGCTGGGCTGAGAGCCGGGCAAACTAGGGAGAGGAGGAGCCGTTGTCACGGCGCATGCACTCTGCAGATGAAGCGGGGGATTCCCGGAGCACGCCCACCTCAATACCTTCTGCACATCCTGGACACTGCTATAGGCCAGGGGGATGCCGGCTACCCGCATGGCACCCCCATTGCCATAGGAGCCCTTCCCGTTGAACTGGGCCCGGGCAGGCTCATAGACGTCGTGGCACTTGGGGCTCAGGAGCTTCTTGAAAACGGTGATTACTCCGGCCCCGTAACCTCTGTCAGGGTCTTTCTTGTACTCCTGTGCAAACCTGGGAGCAGGGGGAGGCAGAACTGGGGTTTCAAAAATGCCTCTCAGGGATGGGAGAAGTCTGGTTTGGAGAAAACAGCAGTCTTAGGGAGCCAAGGCACCTGTCCCAGCAGCATTATCACTCTGAGCTTGGGAAGCTGCATCAGCCTAAGAAACAAGGTCCTGCTAAAGGCAGGGGCCCAAAAGCGCCTGCCTAGCAACTGCAAGGTCGTGAGTTCAGTTCCCGGTACCGGAGAAAAACCAAAAAAAATAAAAAAATAAAAATAAAGGTAGGGGCCCAAGCATGCAGGCACCAGTCTTCTGTCTGGGGTGCAGTAACTGCCACCTGGCTGGCCTCGCCCCAGCACCATCCCCTCACCTGTGAGCCATGTCCACCTCGTCAAAGGCCTCCTTGGCCAGCAGGGACTGCACAAGGGCCCTGGCCATGGCTGTGTCGTCGGTGTAGTACAGTGCTTCTGTGGGGAGAGGGCAGGGGTGAGAGCAAAGTGCAGGACGTGGCGATACCTCGGTCCTCTTAGAGGCCCCATATCTACCAGGACCTCACACAGCCTCTCACCCATGGAACCTCGGCTGTAGGAATCAAGATTTCCAGCAATTCTTTATTCCAAGTCAGGCATGACATCCTGCTAATTTCTAAAGGAAAACCTTCCACCCTCTTCTGTGGCTATCACCAAAGCTGATCTTAGTATGACTTGTCTGGCTCTGGTGCAAGCTGTACATGCAGCCAGAACATTCCTCCTCCTGAGCAGACCGTCACCTTCCTCCTCCCACTCTCCTGCTCAACATGGCCGGCTTCAGTGGCCGTGGCATTCCAAGCTCTTCCCAGCCAGGCCCCTTCCATCTTCACCCACTTCCTACCCCACTGTTCCCCTCAGAAGCGATGCCAGAGTGTGGATGAGGTTCCTCCAGCTGGGGCTTCTCCCCGTCCACGCCCCACCCTGCCTCCCCTCCCCTCGGCTGCCTGGGAGCACTGCTCTGGCACTTCCGCACCGCACACTGGCGTCCGCTAGGGACGGACTGTTACAGAAGGGGACGCGGGCTCCCCAGTAAGTCCCTTCCTCATCTCACACATCCCTAGATCAGCCCTGGGCGCGTGCACCCCAAGCCCCAAACCCTTCCCCTCCCACTCACGGGAGGGCTGGCGGGCTCCTCCGCGGCTGCACTCTCCAGGCTCCCTCAGGGCTCAGCCACCCCATTTCTGGGGGGCCATGCGCTTCCTTTATCCCCTCGCCCCATGTGGTGGGACAGTACCTCCCCGCTCCCTCCGTTTGGTCGCTGTGCCCTGTTCCTGCCCAGGGAGCCCCTTTCACCTGCTCCCAGTCCGGGCGGCTTGAGCACAGAGCCGCCCCCGCCTCCCGCTTAAGCGAGCGGCACAGCGCCAGCCGATCGCGACGGACCGCGGCCCGAGGCAGGCCGGGCAGTTTCCATGTGAGACTTGCCTTGGCCACAGCAGAGGGAAACTGCCCTGCCGGAGCGCAGGGCCGGGGCCTCAGGGGCCGCGCCGGGAACGGGCTGCCCAGATTATGGGGCCACCCAGGGCAGGCAGATGGATCAGCCGAGGCCATCCCTACCCCCGGTTCTCAGGTCACGTCAGCCAGTCTGTTCCCCGCTGATCCGGCCTTTGGAAGTCGGCTTCCTGTCACCTGCATCTAAGGGGTCCTGGAACACCTCTGACCTCAAACACACCTTTTCCTCACCTCGGCATCACACCAGCGAGGAAACCAAGGCCCATCCCTCCATCTTGTCTTCGCTTCAACTCCACTTAATCCATACTATGTCCGCCTCCTCCACTTCCCCCTCACTCACTGGAGACGAGGCCAGACTTTCTTCTGCTTGCCTGCAGCGTGACACAGGCGACCAGCGTCTTCACCTCGAAAGTCTGCTCTCATAATAACCCTCCTGCTTCTGCGGCCAGACGTCTCCCTCCCTAGCTGCCTCCCACCCCCGTCTGCCCGGCACGCGCGCGTTCCTCAGGGTTGCGGCGCCGGCCCCCTTTCCCTACTGTCCCCGCGGGCTGCACAGGCAAGGGGAGATGGCTTTACAGGCCAGTGGCAGCGCGGGCCAGGGCCTGGGCGGAGGAACTGTGGTGTGCGCGGAACCAAAGAGGGAAAGCACGACCGAGAAGGAGCGAGGGAGGCCGGCGAGGCGGGCCGGCGGGGCCGCGCCGAGGTTTTCGGCGGGGATGGCCGGACGCGGCCCGCGGCGCGG